GTCTCATTCTTACTCACATTTTATTGTAATTATATTTTAAAATGCAACAAAAATACTCACACTGGTAAACTGGTAAACAGTCACACTGGTAAATCGACATTTTGATTTTGTGGCGACAAAATCAATTCAGCTTATGAACTTCAAGTTGTCTTAATGAAGCAAAAACATACATTTAAACCCCAAATTAGTGTTGTTACTTTTATTTCTTATATTTCAAGTTCTTAGACAAACACCTGTTTGTTTGTTCATAGAGAGGCTGTTGCCGCAGTGTGCCTATGAAGGTCAGAGAACGCTGTGTCTGGGTCGCTTGTCTTCCACCACGTGGTCATGGATGCTCTGCTCAGGTCGTCGAGCTCGGTGTCAAGTGCCTTTACCTGCTATTCCATGATAAGCTTTATTTCACTAGTTTCTAAGCTCATTTCCACATAAGCATTTTATATTGACTTTGAGTGATAAGTGTCCTTTATTATGAGTTACGGATGGGAAATAAGAATGAAGAAGTGCACAGCTCATTCCAAGTCAGACTATTACAGGTTTAGAAAACACTTGGTTTACTCCTGTCTTTTTTTTTTTTTTTTTTTTTTTTTTTTTTTTTTTTTTTTTTTTTTTTGGCTTGTTTCCTTCCTCAACATAAACTGTCTTTGAAATAAGCGGAGCAGTCTCGCCTGGTACTGTCTTTGAAATAAGCGGAGCAGTCTCGCCTGGTTCAATAATTTCTGGATGGAATAGCCTCAAGATTCTTAGACATTTTGAGACAGTTGAGTTAGTATGAACTCTATTTTTTTATGTGGCCACCCAGGTAAAGCGCATCAGTTGGACAACCTAATTCTTGCCTGGATCTACAGCTGGCTCGAAACAAAATGATGCTAAATGGGGCAATAATAAACTGAAAATTGTCTTAGTCCCTGGTTGTTTTGTCCTCATTGTGTCAGGTGTCTGGCTATCCCTATGCACAGTAAAAGAAAGACTCTGAGGAATGAGCCAGGGAGACTAAAAGGTTATGCAAACAGAGTGTTACTGAATAAGCATGCTGCATAAATATTAGGACAGGAGACCAGTGACCTCGAATTACTGCCTTTCTTCTACCCTCTGAGCCCAGGGCTACCTCCCCAGCCTCTTTAACTGGCTCAGCAGATAATCCTTTGTGGCTTGAGAACTGCGTGTGCACAGCACTCACCACTTGTCTGTCATCCTGCTGAGCTATTAGGCTGAGCGGAGCTGTGTTTGCCCAGCATTTCCTGGGCTCTCACATGAAATGTGCTTATCAAGTACAGTCTATCTTCAGGCTTCCGACCTCAGTTGGGAAGGCACTCCCTAGATCAATGCAATGCCTATCAGCTCCGCAGGGGATCTAACTTCTGGCCAGAAATGCATTTAAGGAAGGTCCCTGTGCTGTTTTTTTTTTTTTTCTTCCCTTCCAGGAAGAGAAGTTTCCAGAAAAAGAAAACCACTATAGCTGCTCACATTCCAAACAATGTACTTGGCCCAAGCAGGAAGACATCCGCTGTATGAGGAATCTTTAGCTGTGGGGAGATTTCAGCTAATGGGACTGTATGCTAAATAGATAGTTCACGAATAGGAAAAGATAATGTCACTGAAGCACCCAGAGGTAACATTTTAAGGCACATCCCTGAGTTTATAGAAGACTTACTTTATACATTCCCAATGAATCAGCCTTTACTGATGGACCTCATACATGTCAGGACTAGCTCTAGTAGCAGCAGGTGTGAGATATATTTCATTGTGGGCGAGAAATGAGAAGCACATTAGCACTAACGGGATAGGCAGGATCTGCTGAGACACAGGTTTGGAGGAAACAAGGCCTGCCTTGGGCACACAGCTGTAAAGCTCTGGAGACTGGATCTCCTGGTAGCCTGGTTCCTGAAGCTAACACTCCAAGTTATTATTTCCCTCTCAGACTGGTCGTAAAATTTTCCATCCTCCAAGGGAAATGTAGGAGATGATGGTTTGCTCAGGGCCTATTCTGCTGGGAATTCGCCTTGAGGTGAGAGTTGGAGATCCCCAGTAGTTTACTGTTGTCAAAGCTCCAATGAGCCTTGTGACATTCCCGGTAACTCCAATCCTTCCCCCAAATAAGGAAGCATTTCAAAGCAAAAAAGGCAGTGAAATCATTATAAGAAGAAAAAATACCTGATGCTTATTGACTTCTTTCCACACGCTTGGGACAGAAGCTCAAAGTACTTTACACATGTGATAACACAATGATCACATGAAAACACTACTGGGTGGATTTTGCCATCATAAGTGTATGGACTAAACCGTGTTTCCTCCAAAACTGAAAGATATGCTGCGGTCCTAAGACCTGGTCGGCACCTGAGAATATCAACTTATTCATAAATAGGGTCTGGGTAGAGGTGATCAGGTTGAAATGGAATCATTGAAGTAGTCCCTAATCCAAAACACCTGGTGTCCATATAAAAAGAGAAATCTGGAGGCTGGAAAAACATCTTGGTTGGTAAAATGCTTGCTGTGCAAACATGAAGACCTAAGTTTGGTCCCAGAACTTGTATAACAAGGCTTATTTGTTTGGGTGGCATGTGTGGAGGTGGAGGGAGGGAGAGAGAGATTGAGAAAGGGAGAGATTGTTTTGGGGACCCACCATAGATAGATAGCTAGATAGCTAGATAGATAGATAGATAGATAGATAGCTAGCTAGATAGATAGATATTGATATCAGAGACAAGATTAGAGCGCCAAAATACGTGAAGGATTGTAGGCTACCACCAGAAGCTAGGAAGCCCCAGAGCAGTGACAGAGTGATCTTGGCTCTCTCAATATCTTGATCCCACACCTCCGGCCTCCAGTCTGGGAGACAGAAGGCTTGTTTAAACCAATTAATTATTGGATTTTGCTATGGCAGCCACAGGAACCAATGATAACCATGGGTTACAGATCCAGGAACTAAAAGCAGAGTCGTCCATCCCAACCTGCACACCTGGTGGACAATAGTGGCTTGATGTGTGCTGCAGACATCCTGCTCCTTTCTGACGAACATACCTGCTTAGAAACCCTTTGGCATATTGCTGCTTTTATTCAAGTAAATGGTCTCACATAGTTACTGGAGTCTCTGAACCCTCCGTGAAAAAGGGCACAGCAGGGAGTGTTCCAAGTGGGAGCATTCTGGTACAGGCAGCAGGGCATGGCTGTGAGAGTGCAGGGTGTTCAGCAGACCTGGGGAGCAAAACTGCCAGCATCTGGGGCCGGCCAGGGGTCTGACTGGTCCTGCCTGGAACAGCTGAGTGTGACCAGACCCAGGATGTGAACTTGAAAGCAATTGTGGCTCTCCCACAGCCTTTCCGTTTTAAGCTACAGTCCAGAAATGTGAGTTGTTTAAGTTTTTAAAAACCTAAGAGAGGGCCAGGTTAAGAACAAGAAGAAAGAAGCTTGCAGTAACTGTCTTTGCACATGTACCTTCTGAGTTAAGATACCCGGAAAGTGAAAATGTTTTTTTAAGAACAAAGTGATACTGCTTCTATAACGTGGGCAGAGGAAGCAGGGAGAATGGAGGAAAGCCTGGCTGAACCCTTTATCCCAGGGCTCATGTGGGTCTGAGTAGCAACCCTGTGATTCTTCTGGAAAACGTGATCTTGAACACAACCCATTTTGGTGGGTGGAGGCCAGGCTGAATGATCTGCATGAGCTGGCAAAGATGGCATAAGCTGGCTAGCCCAAGTCAAAATAGACTTTGGTTATACTTAAGGGAGTCAGGCAGAGGTCAAGGTTAATGCAGATGGAGGAACAGTGTCCAGGCCTATTGTTGGCATTGGGAGTCTTTCTGTTCTGTCTTCAGAGAAGAACATGCTGTCCCTGGATGACACAGGTTTGTGTCTTCTTCTGTGATATCTAGGTGGAAGGAAGGGGCCTCCTGTAGTCATGATCTAGCAGTCCTAGGTGGTAATGGTGTTCAGGAGGCTTTTACAGCCCCGTTGATTTATTCAGTGTATTTGGCATGATGTCATACTCTGTCTCGTGTTGCCATCACAGGATGCCTGATGCTGTTAGGAGAGAATTTTACTCTATTTACAATTCTGATGACTACAAGTTGCAAACAGCATGGCCCAGGCATCTGGAGAGGATTCCTGTGGTTGTATCATAGTGTGGTCACTAAAACCGAACTAGGAAGGGCCTGTGTTCAGAAGGATCACATGTATAAGTGAGGAAACAAGGCTTGGAGGAAGAGCCTGGCTGGACAGGCCTGTTAGGAGGCACTCCTGATAGCTAGGCTTGGCCCATTCCTCAGATTGTCCATCCAGGGCTCTGGAATCCTGAGACTTTGTACTCATTAAGTGCTCCCCTCCTTCTGCTGCCACACAGCCTTAAGGATGCTCTCAAACTATGTGCAAACTCACAGCTTATGAATTTTGCAGCCCCAAGTAGGAGCAGTTAAAAAGGAAATAAAGAGGCCATGCTGGAAGCATAGTCGTTGCAGCATGGCATTTCTTGGGTAGAGCAAATAGACCCTACAACCCAGCACACAAAATGTGGGGCACAACAGGAGATGTCACAGAAGAGAAGACAAGTAGTTAATGTCTCCTGATCTGGGGGTGGGGGCCAGCAAAGAGCCGAACAGCCATCAGTTTAAAAAGTTATTGGGTTTTGAGATAAAGGACGGAAAAATTAACTTCCTTTGTTGCAAACTTCTCAGGCTGTAGACACTGATCAACAACTGATCTCTTACAAACTGGCGACAACCAGTTTTATTTCCTAATTCTAAATATTTGAACAGAATATCTTAGTCCTAACAGTTTGGTTCCTTCTTTAGAACAAAGTCCCAGAAATATCAGCAGGCTTCCGTAGCAAACCAGCAGATAACACCTTGCCTTTTTCCCACTTCTTTGGAAAGTTTAAATCCTGGGCGTTTTATACATCACTGTTTAACTTTACCTTTATTTTTCCTACTTGGCGGTTAAGAACTGGAGCCTGAGACAGCAGATTGCACCGGAGAATTCCAGAGATAAACAGCCAAGCAGTAAACTCACCTGGGTGTGGGTCCTGGTGCCCAAGCATTGATTTCCAAGGCAAAGATTGCAATCACTAAGGTGATGATTGCACCTGGGGACATGCCGCTCCTTCTAGGCAGCCTGGAGTCTTGTGAAGGCTTTCTCTGCAACCAGAGGACAGAGGACGAGGAGCAGTTATGGCCTGGATATGTTCAGGGTTTTGTTTGCGTTGGTTTGTGCTGCCTAGGTGTCAAAGTCCAACCAATGGAGAGTCATTTATTGTAATTCCTGACTGTTACTTCTCTTGCTGACAAGGTGTCTTTGTACAATAAACCAATAAAATAAAATAAAATAAAATAATAAAATAAAAGCAATCACACAAACAAAATCTTAGCATTTTTTCCCCCTTGGGAGATGAAGAAAGAGCAATAATTTATGGGAGAGGCCTATGGCCTATGGTTTATCCTTATATAGACCTAGGCTCAAAATAACTACAGAAATGGCATGATGAAAGGCAAGGGCCTTTCTAACCACCTCTCCCTCTGAAAATCAGATGTGTAGCTTCCTCTCACATGAGCAAGGTAAAGAGTGGAAATAAAGGTTTTTTTTTGTTGTTATTTTTTGTTTTGTTTTGTTTTTCAGTTTTTCGAGACAGGTTTTCTCTGTGTAGCCTTGGCTATCCTGGACTCACTTGCAGACCAGACTGGCCTCAAACTCACAGACCTACCTCTGCTCCCCTAGTGCTGGGATTATAGGCGTCATGGGCCACCTCTACTGACTCATACCTCTTTCTTATATGTGCAGTTGATTCTTCGAAAAAGTACAGTGTAAACTCCTGGTAGTAATGCAATCACACACTAAAAGGATAGACTTTTTCTCTGCCATGAAAAAGATTGCTTGCCCGACATCTCCACAGGCAGCGCTGTGGGGAGGGAGAGGTTCTGGAAGCATGTGGACCACGTAACTGCTCAAAAACTGGTTACACCTGGGATGTTGCAAATGTGGAAATCTCTCACTCCCGATCTCACTCAGCATTAACTGACAGGGCTTCTCAAATCTTTCTAATGTATGGCCAGCATTGGGACTGAGAATACACAATCTGAGAGATAGAGAGAAAGATAGAGAGAGATCTGATGGAGATTTGTGGGTAGTGTATGGTGACTTTAAAATGTCTCACGACACCATACTTATCTTTTGTTTTATTTGTTTGGGACAGGGTGTGACAGGGCAGTCCAGGCTGGCCTGACACTTGTAGCAGCTCTTCTGCCTAAACCCAATTGCTAGACCTACAGGTATGAATCCATGCCCAGCTGTTCCTAACACTTTTGTCTTGTTGAGACAGAGTTGTCTCAAATTCTCTCACTTCATCGCTGAGGATAACCTTCCACTCCTGACCACTCTCCATCCTTTCCCCAAGGGATGGGATTGCAGGCACCACTATGCATGGCTCTCTGACACCGTTTTTAGGAGACATTCATTGATAATTATTAATTACAGAAGAGCAGATCTTAAAACATTAATATATGCAAAAATAAAACAGACATCTGGGTCAGGGGATGACAGATCACAGAACGATAGCTAGCTATCTTAGGACCATGTTACATATGCTACTGAGAGTACAAGGTACCTAACCTCCACCTTTTCCCCATACTTTACCCTGTCCACGTGAAGAGCCTGAGAACTGACTGAACTATTTCACCCACTTAGGAGCTGACTGTGGAGCCCATATACTTGCTCGATGTGTAAGTCATGCAAAATTGTGAAGGAATAAAATGATTCTTACAGGTGCCTTGCTTGCAGAGAGACACTCTCTATGAGCCTTAACTAATGATAGGTGGGTGGCAGCTGGATTCAGTCCAGATCTGTCATCAATGTCATAGTGCATGGGAGATTCCTGTATGGTGTCTGTGGACACTCTCAGCCTGTCTATAGGCCTAGGAACATCAAATAAGTTTGCCTGGGATGCTGCTTTATGTTAATGAGATGATAGTTGATTAGACTGTGAGTCTTAAATCTGGTACGTTTTCACAACCAAATATTGCAAAATTCCCTCTCCTGAGAAAAAGACTGTCTTGAGGGGTGGAGGAGAAAAGGATATCTTCATTGATTTGGTTTGAATGGGAGGATATTCTAAATTGCTACTTGATTTTATCATATAATGCAGCAATATGAGTAAAATATAACAACAATCTACAAATTGATGGCATATATTATATACGTATACACTCTATGACTAGCAAGGCATTTTTTTTCTACAATGCCTTTAACTCTTCCTGGCTCTGGACGTCTCTCATGTATCTGACACATTTTGAAGTGAGGCATGTGTTTTGTGTGTTTCTTGGAGAAACGGAGGGTTAGGATGAATTAAACTGGGAGGAGCAGAAATAACATCTTTATTGGTATAACATGTAATAGCTACTAGAGATGAAAATGGGAACTTTATAACGTGCAGGCTGCATGCACAAACAAATTTAATTCTCAATGGCTCCATCACAGAGCTGAAGAAAGGCTAAATACAGAGGTGCTCAGTCTCCTGGAGGGAGGAGTAACCGGGGTTTGCACTTTGCATGTTAGGCCTTCCCACCACCCACGTGTTAGGGTACCACTGTTTGTATTTTAATCAGCTCATGCCATTTTCATGGAGCATGGTGCTGGGAAGACGCCTGCCCAGTCTGACCCCTCTAGTACAGGACCGCAGTGGGAAGGCAAACTGGCCTCACTCTCTAGTTCTAGGAGTTTCCTCGCTGAAGAGAGCTCATGGTTTTCTATCAGTAAGGAGATTTTCTTTTTTCTTTTCTTTTTAAAATCCCATTTATTCAAATTCCCTTGGGCACTCTGTGTGTTGCTGAGTTATGCTTTCACATAACAATGTAACACCTTTGCTCATTAGGAAACGCAGAGACACATGGATCAGTATTCTTTTTTCAAGGTCTTTTTCTTGGTAATCATGGGCTCTCTTGAGTGCCATGGCCAGGGATCTGAGGTTGGGAACTTTGGCACATTGTGTGGCTTCTTCAGGGCCTCCTCAGTGCCACCATGAAGTCTTTGCACTGTCTCTTGCAGCAATGACTAAAAAATGTAACACGCCTGTGAGTGACATGCATTAACAGATGAAGGCATGACTAGAGATCCACAGGGCTACATTTTGTACATTAAAGTCATCTTCCCTCAACTCTGGCCATCGGGAACTGTATTCTGCTCTGCTGTCACTAACTCGCGTTCCCTGAGCATCACACAGAGGTGCACTCTTCAGTAAGCTGGTCTCTGTCCTCGATGCTTACTCAATTTTCGCTTGAAATGTCCATCCTTAAGATTAGATCCACCTTCAGATGAAGGCATTTCAGAGTGTGGCCCATAAACCCCCTTTACCAGAATCTGCTCCTTATTTTAGATGTTCTTAAATGTCAATTCCTGAAGAGGCAATTGACTATGTACATGCACTCACAGAGGCAGGTGTGTGTGTGTGTGTGTGTGTGTGTGTGTGTGTCTGTGTGGTGTGTCTGTGTGTAAATTACTTTCTTGCCCTGGGGTGAATACACCTATTCCTTGTAGCTTCTCTGAGTATTTCCTGCAGCCTGTTCCTTCCCGATGCATGCTAAGAACTGCCACCCAGACCCCAGGGTTTTTATCCTTTAATCAAAAACAGGCATCCTCTCCAGCTTCTAACTTTGTCATTTCCTAACACTTATGTCCCCCCGAAAAAATCTCTCCATTCAGTGAAGGAAGCAGAAGGCGTATGTTATGCCAACCCTTCCATTCTCTTCCTTTCCTTCTCTATTAGTTCCTATGTCTAATATACTCATCTCCTCTGGCAGTAGATGAAAATTTCTGTGGTGTTCATTAAATATGGGGGGGGGGTGATGGTATTTGGACACATTCTAAACATATCTGTGACTCTACTCCAGCCCAGCTGGGTCACCCTTTACTCTAGTCCTCTCTTTTACAAAAACCAACAAACAAGCTAGAATAATAACTAAAGTCAATCATTGTATAAGTGAATGACTGAAAAGAGGACTGACATAAACCCAAACAAACAATGGAAACAGGAAACAAGGAAAACAGAGCCATCAAGACTTTCATAACTTGTCTTTTGTTTGTTATGTCCCTTTGGCTATTACAGCCCCCTTTGGCCACTGAGGTGCCCACATCGTGTTTTCTGTCAAGAGCAGCACTCCTTGACTTCCAAAAGGTGGAAGTTTGTAATTAGGCCTATTACTCCAGCAAAGCAAGGACAAACAAGTTAGGGTACTCATGAAGCAAGATGACAAGAGGCTGGCCCTGGTCCATCAGCATCACTGTGATTAGGACATGTTAACAGATCTGCTGCTGGTATGTAATTTTGTTCATAGTTATGTGTGACAGATGAACTTAAGAACATGAATTCTACTTATTTTTAGAAGCAAAGAATTAGTTAAAAACATGCCTTTTTCCCAGAAAGCACCAGGTGTGTCCTTGCTGAGCCATCTCTTTTAAATGGTGATAGCGTAAATATTTAACAGAACTTGTGGGCAATTCCCATCTTTCAGTAGAAAACTTTATTTTGAGCCAATTCCAGGCATTGGGGTTAGAGTCCTCACTCATCAGGTAATTCCAGGTCAACGACATTCCTGAGTTAGCTATGTCCTGTTTTTTCCCACCTTGCTTTCAGCACAGGAGGAGAGAATAAGACTGCTTGACTTGATGAAGATTCTGACATTGTGGGAGAAGAGTCCCTGCTATAAAAGTTTTGCCATAAAATATCCATTAGAAAACCCTCCTAAGCTGATAGAGCAACTACAGCTATGTTAAAAACCTGAATGCCAATTTCATGAGCTGTAATGGTTACAGATTCATCCCATTGGATTATGTATCAGCAGAATGGAGCTATTTTTTTCATAACTAGCATTTTCCCATGCGTGGTTATTATATAATATATAATTATTATATTATATATATTATATATAAATCAGCACTTCTCTCTTTGTGTCACATTTGTGTGAGAAATCTTAGGTTTTCCTGGCTGCTAACATTCAACTCTTTGTTTATATATGTTTGGTGCTTAAATGACGCTCTAGGGTTCTTACAAAATATCAAACTTTCAGGATTGGTCTAAACATCGTCTACCAAAGAGTACGTGGGTTCTCATTTTTCAGGGCTGCTTCAGTAAGCACCTCACTTTTTGTTCAGCAATGGTTCTTACTACATTGCATGAATGTCTTCTTGTACAGGAGCGGTGGTTAACCCCCAGAGCATGTTCACATATCAAGCCACATGGAAATAGGACATGAGTTCAGATAACTAAACACACAGCATAATACCCAGGCAAACCAGTTAACCTGTGCAGTGTGTCCCAGTGTGTCCCTTCCTGCCCCCTTTAGCTCCTCCTCATATTTCTCTATACATTTCACCTCACTGTTGTCAGAAAGATACCAATTGTTTTCAGTTAAGGCAGGGAATGGGGGTGGGAGGAGAAGACAGATGATCCAAACATTCCCTAATAGTATGCTCCAAAAGGTGGTTCCTCCCCCAGTATCTTACTCTTCAGAGCTGGATTTTCCAGACCCTGCTTTAGGATTCGCTCCAGGTCTTTGTTGAAATGAGATCCTTGAACTTAAACTAGGACACCATGACTAAGAGTACCTTCAGCTCCTCACCGACTGACCTGCCTTCCTGATGCTGTAGGTCTACTAAATAGCTAGTGCCCACCCAGACTAACTCTTCCACATGTGTTGTGGTGGGGTGAAACATGACTTAGTAACAGAGCAGAAAAGGACAAAATGCACAGACCAATACATTCCAGTGAACATCATGGCTGGAGCAACTTCTAGCTACAAACTCTCTGAAACCCACAGGATGAAAATTCATGTAGGCGTGAAAGGGAAGGACACTGAAAGAGACTGGATAATTTACCTGGTTTCTACATCACAGACTTTCATTTTCTCTTATCATTGTGACAACCCAAAATGTGTATAACTAGCAGTTTCTCACCTTCTAGCTGGTGTTTTTTTTTTTCCTTGATAACAGTCAATCCAAAAGTAGGAGTCAAATACTAGAATAAGCTAACAGTGACATGAGATTTTCGTCATTCCAGTTTATTGGATGAGTAAATTTATAGCTTTATTCACATACAGAAAAAGAAGATGAGTATGTACAAAACAGTCATGTTGATTGATTCTCATTTTCAAAGATCCAAAAATCTAGAAAGAGTTACCTCCAGTGTAGCACTGGTATCTGGAATTTTAAAGTATGATTTCAAGTCTGTGTTTATAATGACTGAGTAGGAAGTCAGAAAGGAAAAAAAATGTATGCCATAGATAATTAACTATTAGCATTAAACAGAAACTCACAGGACTCCAGCTTGTACTACTTGGGCTAATAAACAGAGGCTCACAGGCCAGCTTCATGTTTAAAACCTGAGCAGTTATTCTATCTCAGCGAAAGGTGAAATTGTACTAATACCCCCAAGAACCTGAGCATGAAGGGTCAAGAGAGAACATTAAAACCAAAGAAAACAAACAAACAAAAAAACTCAACACAAACTAACAAAAGGACTAAAGATAAAAATGTACTGCGTAGGTTTCCAGGGCTGTGAGGGATCTTGCAGGCAGGTTTTTAGTGACAACCCCAACCATTTGCCCACCACTCTCTCTCCTCTCACTTACTGTTGTCTTAAGAACTATGTGATTGTGGCTTCTAGAAAGTTTTTCAGTTGTTTGATAAAGTCCTACCATGACCTCCAGTGAGGGCCCAGTGTGTTTGGTACAGTCACATTTAGCTTTCAGAGTATAGTCCGTCATTGCTGAGCTGAGTCCTGTCCTTCTCCTGTGTTAAATTACTCTAAGGAACTTCAGTTTAAGAGACTAGCCCTCCCGTCCATGGGGAGGATGGAGATGGTGGACCTTCTGGAGTCTAGCCACTGGACTACCTATGGCTGGAGGGTGTGTGTGTACTTTTTGCCCCATGAAAATCTGTTATTTTGGAGTCATTGTTTATACTAACGCAGAGCAAAATGGATTGAAAGAGAATGAGAGGGAAAGACAGGGAGAGATAAACAATGCTTTCCTCTCATTTAAACTAGCCGGCAGGAGATTAAAAATGGAATAGTCCTGGGAGAAATAATCACAATGAAAAGAAATTATACCTTTTTTTAGTAATGCACAAACAATCATCTTTATTGAGAAAAAAAAATCACATGAGATAAAATTAGGATCTTCAAGGAAAATTCAGGCCATAAGATCACCAGGGTCAAACAGCTGCATAATGTCTGGAATGAAAACAATTTGAGGCCCCAGGGGTGGGGGGTGGGGAGGGGGGATTAATTGTTTCATTAGCTTTGAATAATGCGTCAAGTTTAGAGTTAGAATTTTCTCCTCCGCAAGTCAGTTGTGAGCACCTCTTGGGACAGGTTTGGTAAATGATGCAATTAGCTGGGAAATGATCATCTTGAAATGGTCCTAGTTTGTATGTGAGAAGTTAGTCTTGCTTTCGTTTTACTCAATTTTTTTTTTCCTGAGTGGAGATGGGAAGCAGGTGTCCTGCTGTCCCATTAATAGAATGTTTAGGTTTATGCTGCACGCTGGGAACCCAAATGACTTTGAGCTCTGCGGATTTGGACATTCACTCAAGGCAGTGTGATATGAGGGTTAAGGTGGCTGAACCTCCCAGCTGAGGACAGAAAGGAGAGCATTCTGGAAGGTTCTAGGGGCACAAGAAACAAGGATTTGGTACGGGAGCTACTTCATTTATATTTGAGCTAGAGAGTTTAGGAGCTTAATTTACGTAAAGCTATAGCCTCAGTTTAGCTTTAGCCTAGACAGAAAGTGAAAGGCGTTTTACAAGTACAAGAGGCAAAGACGAGTAAGGCAACAGATAATACGTCAAAGCTGGAACAAGGACAGAGGTCAGATGTTTCTGGCTATCAGCTTTGTCCTTGACTAAAGGCTGGTCTTTTGTTCATCCGGATAGCCAGCGTTACAACTTCCTGGAGAAACATGGAAAAGAATGGTTAGAATATTTGGGTTGAATATCAATGCATTACATATTAAAACACTGTTTTCAAATGTTTGCAATGGCATATCCTAGAGCTGATGTGAAGATTGGACAAAAGAATAATGTACACCAGATGTGGTAGTGCGGGCTGATGACCTTAACATTCTGAAAGCCATGGAAAGAAAAGAATGAGTTCAAAGCTAGCCAAAACTAGATAATAAAGCCAAGGCTAGCCTGAATTATGGAGTAAGGCCCTGTACCAACCACATGTGTACCTGTAAGGAACTATCTGGTTCAGAGTAACTGAAGTGGGAAGACCCACCCTAGATGTGGGATGGAAATCCTGGGATGGGAATCCCAAATTAAGTAAAAAGCAAGCTGAGCAGCATTCATAACCCTCTGCTTATTGACCGATGCTGAAAGGTGACGAGCTAATGCCTGCCCCTGCTGCCGTGACTTTCTCTGACGTGCTTGGAGCCCTTCGCTTCTCAGGTTGCTCCTGCCTGGTATTTTATTGCATCCACATGAGAAGTAAATGATACATTACCCAATCTGGTTGTTGTTATTAATTTTGGCTGTTAATCTCTGTGCTTAATTTAGCAATTAGATTTTAAGCACTTCTGTATAAGGAAAAAAAAACTGGTTGGTACTAAGTTGTAATGCACGGTTTCAGAAATCCTCAGGGAGTTTTGAAATGCATTCTCCACGGCTAATGGGAAAGCAATCTTGTTATTGATAGAGGTGAGGAATTTATCTGCTGTAGATGAGTCAAGATAGGGGTTAGCCTTACTTGGATGAGAAAATATTGGAATAAAATGAGTCTGGATTCATTTTGCTTATTTTATTGTTCTATCCTTTCCAGGTGTGCATTCTCTAATGTCTTCTCCCTTCAACGCTATAAAATTAGAACGCAACTGATGCCATATTATTGTTGAAAAGAACAGATTACTTGACACTTTGGCAGAGATTCAGCTTTTCTGGAATAAAGTACACTAGAGATGGAGCAGCCAAGCCTCTGACTCATTCTTCTCAAGGTAACATTTATGACTGTCACTGGGATCAGAGTGAACACATCCCAACACCAGGACCAACCTGAGATCACCCTTGAAGAAAGAAATGGCAGAGAAGTTGTATTGTCATCTGTTTAACTGACTTCTCTGATGGATGAATTTTAATCTTCAAAGGTCTCTGTTGAAGGTTCCCCTTCAACATGAATCTGTTTTTAAAAGTAGGTCTGGGAATGTAGGTGGGGGGAGGGCTTCATTCATGAAGCCCTGGGTTTGATCTCCAGGACGACATAAAACTGGGTTTAGTGGTACATGTCTATAATCCCAGCACTTAGGTGGTGGAGGCCAGAAGGTCAGAACAAGGTCATTCTCCACTACACGGAGTTTGAGGCCAACCAGAGATACATGAAACCTTGTCACAAAAATAAAACAAACAAAAAGGCTAAAAGTGTTAAAAAATATATGTTCTATTGAATTTATTTCCACAGAGAACTGAAGTATCAAAAACAAAGGATAGAAATTTATACCTCCTAGCTAGATTATTGTGTGTCAAAATTATTTTTCTAAATGACCACCTTCATTGATATTAAATTATCAGAGTATTGATTTGCATATCGATTTCTCTTAAATTACACATACTTAGCCTCTTTTCAATTCTAAAAATAAAATCTCACCCTTTACCCTCTCCATCACCATTTCTCACCATACACCCACTGTAAGACAATGCTAAGTAGGTTCTTCCACTTACAGAAGCTAGGCGAAAGGATTTCCGAAAGGGCTCCTGTGGACATCAGAAGATGCGGGCTGAGAAGCCCCCTAAGAGGTGAAGCCAACACAACAAACACTATTATAGTCATAAGAAAAATACGTAATGGAACCTCAGCTTCCTTTAAACATCGCTTAGATCATAAGCCAATCAAACATTGTACACTGTTTGTTCAAAGTCAAGGCTGGGGAGAATTGCCTTTGTCTCCCTCAACTTGGAACAACTGTTTTAATGAGCTATAGAACTATTGATGGGAGATTTAGAATTTTAATCTTCAAAGGTTTCTAATTGACTATTTTGATTCAGCTTCTCCCCTCAGGTTCTCACAGGCAGATCAAGTGTAATACAAATAAAGGATTTTGAGGGCATTATTCCTCCAGTTTAGGGGATGTTAAGTACCTGGGAAACATAATCTCACCCCAGCTTGGTTGGATGTCTGCACTGTGAGGTTTCCTACAACTACATAGGCAAATGGGCATTCTCATCAGAGAATTACTGCGTAGGGAAGATGGACTGAGAAAGCTCTAGGGGTATGTGGCACGTGCTTCCAGGATTTGATACTTACGGAGGGCTGTGATGAGCTGAAGCCTCCTTTAGAGAAAGGGTTCTCAAGGGAATTGTCAACAGACTTGGTACCCGAGACGGCACCTTGTCTGGGAGCTGGCTTTGGTGGTTCTGGAAGGCAAGGGACCCAAGCAGTTAGAACACAGACTTTGCTCACACACAGCACGTACACCCTGGCCGGCATAGCTTTGAAACTTAATTCTTTACACCAGTGAAATTTAAAAAAAAAAAAAAATCACCACATATACCAGGCTTTTATACATCTATCACAGAACAGAAGGCTACATGTATACTTTATCTTTAGTGGAAGACACTCAGAAGTGCCTTGCTTATAGCCATGGAGTGGGAGCCTGGTTATCATTCAGCTCTCCAAATGTTACAACCAGCACATTTCTATAGGTCTTTAAAGCTCTCTCAAGAACTGTCATTAGAGGGCAGTTTTGGGCCAGTCCTTGGGGTTGGCCACGGTAAAGAGCTCTTAAGTTACCTCTACAGCCCTGGGTATCAGAAGCAGGAGATAGGCTATTGATGGACATGGAAGGTTCCATCAATGGAACTACCAATGGAACTGGACAGCAGCTGAAGTATCAGTTGGCAGATAACTAAGCAAACTTACCATTAATCTTGTTCAACAGTTGATTGGCATCAAAATCATCATGATCTACATGCTCCTGAGGAATGCCAACTTTACTGTTGAAGTAACTGGAGAAGGCACTTGAAGTCCCCGCGGGAGGTAGCTCTCCCTTCCTTGAGGGCAGGACAGGTGGCTGCCGCAACTGGAAGTCCTTAAACATTTCCTTCACTTCCTTGACTTCTTTATCCCCAAGTGGGTCTAAGCCAGTGAAAGCATCGCTGGGAATGTCTTTTAGTGGCCCATTTCTGGGCGGTGGTTGAGGAGGTGTGGTCATGCTGACAGAGGACAGCATAGGAGAGGACTGAGTGGACATGGCAGAAGGTGGGAAGATATTACTCTGAAAAGGATTCCCCAGAGGGCTTGTGGATGACCAAGCATTGGATGCCACGGAGGGGGTAGGACACCAAACTGCAGAGGCTGGAGGAGAAGTGGGGGCTGCAAACGACGAAGGCTGATTCCAAACTTGAACTGCTGGCGTGGTGCCAAAAACGAGTGGCTGACCAAAACCTTGAGGCTGGCCACTTATTATGGCTCCTGGGACCACAGCTGTAGGAGGGCTGAAGACAACAGGTGTCCAAGGTCCTGCTTGGGGAGGTGACACTGGAACACCACCTAAAGAAAGAGGCCAAAAGCATTATCAAGAGAAAAGCTTGAAGAGGAATTTCTTATTTTATTTCTATGAATTTTATGAACTGTACAAAATAATGGATTCAATCATGACATTTTCAAACATCCATGTAAAAGACTTTGGTTGTATTTGTCCCTTTGATAAGGATTCTTGAATTTTAAAAAGCATGGCTTTCTGGGTGTATTTGTAGAAAATTCCTAAGGCAAAAACACTTTATGAAGTTTTGAAGCTCACTCAAGAATAGAGGCCTCAGGTCATTAAGTCCCCTAAAAGGTTAACTTATCAGCACTGTTTAGCTAGCTTGCAAATGATTGGTGCATATTCTTTTTACACCTTTTTACTATCCTCATTAGAAGACTAATACACCCCATAAGTTCCTAATAATTAACAAATGAATGCTGATCAAACATGAATCATGTGCCTCCAACACCCAGAATGCAATTTGCCAACAGCAAGAACTGATTTGTCAAGTGGACAAAGCTGAATATGCAAGTCACGATTATTAAGTAGTTAAGATAATCCACTGTGGTTAGTTAATTAAGATATCCACTTTGCATTTAGCAGCTGGCTCTTGCAGAGGACTTGGAAACCAGTTATCATGAATGGGCTTAAAGCCTCAGAAGCAGCTCTCCTATTTCAAAGCCTCCCTGCTTCTTAAAGCTGCTTATATACAGGGCAGATAAGATTTAGTGAGGCCAACACAGTCTTAGACTTCTACATGTAAAAATGGAGGAAAGGCTGTTATCCTGGGAAGGCTGCTTCAAATAAAAGTGCTTTCTGCCATGTGTCACTCACTAAACTTTGCCAGAAGTTCAGGCAGAGAAGTTACAAAAAAAGGGAAGCAGATAAAGTATCAGAAAGCAGAGCCTTCTGGGTAACGGAGGTAGCATGGGTAACCTTCCTAGGTAACAGAGGACTGAGTTAGGGAATATTATCTCCAGGGTCAGTCTCCTTGCCACATTCTTCAGGGTGAGTTACCTCATGAATACCCAACCCTCTCCAATCTCTATCCCTTAGATTCATGCCACACATTCTATCCTAACACACAGGACACTCTCTCTCTACTCTCTCTTCCCAAGTGCATTAATGAAGCAGCATCACCAATGAGCAAGACCATAGCACACACCATCCTGCAAAATCCCTGTCCAGCCTCATCCTCATTCATGGATGCTGCTGTTCTGCCCTTGAAAACCTACTTGTTCCGAGAGTATAGAAGTCTTTCACTACCCATTTTAACTGACTCAATCAAGAAAAGGCTTCAAACTTGGGATAGGAAAGACTGGTTGCTGTTCGCTTTTTTCCAGGAGAAGAACTTTGAAGTGCGGTTCAGGAGCCGACATACAGAGATCTTTCTTGATCATTTTGACATTGGTTTCTTCTATTATCATGAATGCTGGCATCTGGCCAGGAACACATCTGCTCCACTCACACAGAACAGACACCTTACTTGATCAGCATGCCTATTTCTCAATGAGAGAACTTCATAATCAAATTGTGAAGTTCACAGTCCATGCCTATAGGGACAAACTCATGCCCCTTGGCCCTTACCCTAGCACCTTATTCTCCCATTTTGACCTCTTCACAGCAAGGCACAAGAAGCTACTACTTGTGTGATGGTAAGCCAATTCACACTAACTTCACAGACACAGGATCCAGCACTTATTTGTATATGGAATATAGTCATAAAAACAGAGACACGGTTTCTCTTAGATTTTCTAATATAAGCCCTACAAATGAGTTTAGCTTGAACAAAATTATTGACAACTATTTCAAAACAAATTAATATTGTAAATGGAACGAAGGGTCATTCACTAAAAATTTTAACCACTTAGATTGCATAAATAAAAAATAAACAAATAAATAAGCAAGCTGGGCAGTGGTGGTACATGCCTTTAATCCCAGTACTTGGGAGGCAGAGGCAGGTGGATCTCTGGGAGTTTGAGACCAGCCTGGCCTACAGTAAGTTCTATGACAGCCAGGGTTACAAAGAGAAACCCTGTCTCAGAAAAATAAGAAGAAGACAAAGAAGAAGAAGAAGAAGAAGAAGAAGAAGAAGAAGAAGAAGAAGAA